CAAAGGAAACAATGAACAAAATGAAAAGGCAGCCTACAGAATGGGAGAAGGGTATATGCAAAAACATATCTGATAATAGGTTAATATCTAAAATCCATAAAGAACTTTTCAACCTCAACACCCCTAAAACAAATAACCCATTTAAGAAATGGGCAGAAGACACGAATAGACACTTTTACAAAGAAGTCATCCAAATGGCTAACAGATACGCAACATCACTCATCCTCAGGGAAATAAAAATGAAAACCACGATGAGAATCCACCTCACACCTGTAAGAATGGCTACAATTAACAACACAAGGAACAACAGGTGTTGTCAAGGATGCAGAGAAAGGGGAACCCTCTCGCATTGTTGGTGGGAATGCAAACTGGTGTAGTCACTCTAGAGAAGAGTACAGATGTTCCTCAAGAAACTAAAAATAGAAATACCCTATGATCCAGCAATTGTACTATTAATTCTTTACCCAAAAGATACATAAGTATAGTTTCAAGGGGGTACATGCACCCCAATGTTTATAGTAGCTTTATTAACAATAGCTAAACTACGGAGAGAGATCAAATGTCCATCAACTGATTAATGGATAAAGATGTGGTCTGTATCTGCAAAGGAATATTACTCATCCATCAAAAAAAAAAATGAAATCTTGTCATTTGCAATGACATGGATGGAGCTAGAATGTTTCATGCTGAGTGAAGTAAGTTAATCAGGGAAAGAAGAATGCTGCATGATTTCACTCGTATGTGGAATTTAAGAAACAAAACAGATGGACATATGGGGAAGGGGTTGAAGAAAAGAGAGGGAAACAAACCTCTCAGTGATAGAGAACAAAGTAGGAGCTGAGAGTGGGAAGTAGATAGGAGATGGACTAGATGGGTGATGGGTATTAAGGAGGGCACTTGTGATGAGCACTGGGTGTTGTATGTAAGTGATGAATCAATGAATTCTACTCCTGAAACCAATATTGCATTGTATCTTAACTACCTAAAATTTAAATGAAAAAAATTTAAAAAATTAAATAACGCCAAAATCACAAAAATAAATAAGTAAGATAAACTGTAATTTGAGACCATTCTCAGGAATCTTTGGTTACAAAATCACCCACATTCTCTTAAATTCAGCCCCCCCAAACTTATTCTTGGCAGGAAAACATTGTAGGATTTTCTCATATTAAAGAGAAATTCAAGGGTGCCAGGCACAGGCTGCCCTGAGGACAGAGTATGTGACAGGTCAGGAAAGACCGGAGACACAGAGTCCACCTGTGTCTGACTGAGGGTAGAGTACTGTCCAGATATTGTGCATCCACACCACTTACTGAACACCTAATGTATGCTACACATGAGTCTAGGATGTGGGACACATCTGGACATGACAGCTGACAGTGTCTGGGGGAAGAGAGAGGACACAGAAGTTAAACATGTCTTCAAGGAAAGCTATGTCCCAGCAGCATGAGGAGGGGTGAGGTCGGTGCAGTGGAGCTGGAGCATTGGAGGGGTGAACAGGGAACCCCAGAATCTGATGTTTGGTAATGACATCCTAGTTCTTCATAGATGATGAAGGGACAGGAGGGGAGCATGAAGCTGTGACCCAGCAGGGGCTGTGGAGTCTGTCCCAGTCAGACTAGGAGTTCTGGACAAGGGATTGAGTGAGGGTGAAAGTCAGGGTCTTCATGACTTGGAGGAAGCAGGGACTGAGGATAGGGATTTGAGGGAGGGGAACCTGGTAGGGGGCTTGGGAACTGTGTGGAGAGGGGGCCCCATCAGCTGGAACAGTGTGGGAACCTAACTCTGATGCAGGAGGACTTCTACCTCATGTTTCCAGGAAATAGGATCAGCCCCTGACATAGGGAACTGTACATCAGGAGTCCTAGGAATTCACATATTTGCTTACTCTTGTCTGACCCTTCATGAAACTTCATGTGGGCCTGTTGTTGGGGGGGTGGGGAGAGTATTTCCTGAGTTCTTCAGGGTCCTTCCAGCTGGAATATGAATCAAATTTATATTTGGCAAATTAGCTGGAGAAAATGAAATTTAATAGCCTACATAAAGGGAATCCACAAAGACATGGAAGAATCAAAAGACAGGCAACATGACCCATGAATAAAGGAGGTAGTGGTCTCAGTTTCAAAGAGGAGAAAGACCATTTTTTGCAGGAAGGCAAGAGGAGATGTCTGGAAAACAAAGGTTGCTCCTCTATCTCTATCTATCTATCTATCTATCTATCTCTATCTAACTATCTATCTCCCTATCTCTCTATCTATCATGTTTCTCATCTATCTATCTATGTATCTATCTATCATCTATCTCATCTCTATCTATCTTATCTATCTTGTCTATCTATCATCTGTCATATATCTATCTATCCATCTATCTCATCTATCTATTTATCTATCTATCGTATATCTATCTCATCTATCTATGTATCATCTATCTGTCTATCATCTATTATCTATTTATTTATATTAACTTTTAAAAGCTTGTTTATTTATTTTAAGAGAGAGAGAGAGAAGGAGAAGTCAGAGAAAGAGGGGGAGAGAGAGAATCTCAAGCAGGCTCCACACTGTCAGTGCCAAGCCCAGTGTGGGGCTCAAACTCATGAACGGAAGATCATGACTTTATCTGGAATCAAGAGTAGGCCACTGAACTAAATGAGCCACTTAGGCACCCCACTCTACTATTGAGGTACATGTCATAGGTAAAGAGGGACACCAGTTGATAGCTCTCTTCCTGATACAAGCGGGCAGTTTGGGGGAAGGTATAGAACTTTTCCTAAATATGCTGAGTTTTATTTGCTTTTAACTTGAAATAATGCTCATGCCAAAATGACCCATCTTGGGGCAAAACCCATGTTGGGGCAGCCTATTCCTGGCCAGTTTCCTCCCTCGTCTGAAACTTCCCTGAGATTGCACATGTTAAAAGTTGGGCTGGTAGATTGCTCGTTTCTTGAACCTTCCCCGACAACAGGCCAGTTTAGTTAAACTCATTTCAGGAGGGGGTGATGTGAGTGAGTTCTCAAAGTAACTCTGTTCTGTGCTTCAAGAAATCAGGTATTAGGAGGCACTTCTATGGAAACAAACAAAAATGATGGTTAAAGATTGGATCAAATTATAAAGCAGTTCCTGAGTTTAAATTATGATATTGCTAAAGGATAATGAATGTACAAGTGCAAGTGTGTGTAATGTGATGGTGGGCGGGGAGAGCAAATGTGGAAGCACATTAATTGGGCAATCTGGTCAAGGGAATGTGAGAGCTCTTTATATTCTGGCAATTTTTCTGTTAAATGACATTATTTCAAATGCATCATTTAATACAAATTGTAAAATAGACAAAAACAAACAAACACAACTTTTGTTCAATGAACCAAAGTCCTGATAAGCATAGGAAATATTTTGGCAAAACACAGTGCTTGTTTTCTAGGCAGATAATGTCAAAAGTGAATAAAATTGTTTGTTTATCATTTTTTTGGTAATAGCAGACCAAGAGTTCAAGACCGTTTAGCCCTTTTAAACAAGTGAAAACAATTTTAATTTTACATCCATGTATCTTGACATTAAAATTCACTTATTCACTTGAATGTTCTGAATTTTAACCAGTACTAACCATGTATCAAATTCCATTCCGGATTCCTTTTCCAAAATCCTAGTACAACCTTCTCTTCTACATTTAGATTTTTTTTTTTTTTACGTTTATTTATTTTTGAGACAGAGAGAGACAGAACATGAACGGGGGAGGGTCAGAGAGAGAGGGAGACACAGAATCTGAAACAGGCTCCAGGCTCTGAGCAGTCAGCACAGAGCCCGACGTGGGGCTCGAACTCACATACCACGAGATCGTGACCTGAGCCGAAGTCGGACGCACAAACGACTGAGCCACCCAGGCGCCCCATACATTTAGATTTTTAAAGTTTGTTCGTTTATTTTCATTTTTTTATTACAAATTTTTTAAGCATTTATTCATTTTTGAGAGACAGAGTGAGGAAGAGGCAGAGAGCGGGAGAGACAGAATCCGAAGCAGGCTCTAGGCTTTGAGTGGTCAGCACAGAGCCCTCGGTAGGACTCCAACTCAGGAACTGTGAGGTTATAATCTGAGCCAAAGTCAGACACTTAACCCACTGAGCCAGCCAGGAGCCCCTATTTATTTCTTTCTGAGAGGGGGTTGCAGAGAGAGAGAGAGAGAGAAAGAGAGAGGGAGGGAGAGAGAGTCCCAAGCAACTCGCTGCTCAGTGCAGAGTCCAATTTGGGTCTGGATCCCAGGACTGCGAGATCATGACCTGAGCCAATATCAAGATTCACAGGCTCCATTGGGTCAGGACTGCATGTGTCCCTCCCGTTAGAAGCGCC